TGGAAAGATCATGGGTCACACACGCGCGTATATCTGTATCAAGACGAACTTAGATTGGTATATTTCCAGTTTTAACCAGCCTCAGACTTTCGATACATTTTTTTTTTAACGAAGTATTCCTTTATTGTAGAGCGATATGCTGTCATTTTCCGTCGCATTTGACTCGTTCACGAGTGATGTAACTTGTATTTCCTGACGGTAAAGTTGCTAAAATGTACAAGTGTCACTTCGCATTTATTTTTGGAAACATAAGCATGATTTTCACACAGTAAATCTGAAGGTTAATGTTACCGAGAGCGACGCAGAAATATAGGGAAACGGATACTTACAAAGCAGAATCGTTAACAACAGGTACAACTGCTACGGTCTCATATTTGCCTTTTCTGTAAGTTAGCACGAATTGCTAATAAATGAAGGCACAGGGGGGCTTACCTCGTATCTAGGGAATGAATAGAAGGCTGGAAAGGTTAAGTTTGGATTTTGGGCTCGCATGATACATCGCTTATGGTAACAAATGCTAAACAGAATAAAAACTCTAAAATAGCTTTAAATCGTGTTTGTTGAAACTACATTTACAGGGGCCATGTTTAACCTATGCAATTACAGTCTACTGTTCTGCGGTTGAACAAATGTAACTTTTAAAAATGAAAATTTGTTTCGTAACTTTCTTAATGATCCTATCAAATTTGTGAATAAATCCTCGTTAATTGTTGATCAAACAGTAACGGCATTTTATTGACTGCGTTTAAAAAATGGTAGTAAAAATAGGAAACAAAATGTTACGGCATTAACAGTACTTCCGTGTCAAACCATCGATGCCGCCTACGGGGATGTTGTCACTCTCAAACAACAAACTTTCAACAGATATGAGTAACAGAATTTACAGACCTTAGTAATGATTAATGTGAAATAAAGAAACAGTTTAATATTTCTATCTGCAATAATATGCAAGGTTGAATCAATTTGCTTTAGCGCCAAATTACTCGGAGGTCGTGGCGGTCAGTGTGACCCAAAGCGCAGCCGCACTTTGGATATAGCTACCACTGATCTCAAAATTTTGAGATCAGCGGTAACAGCAGCCGCACTGTAATTATTACTAAATTTATCTTAGCCGCTCAATTTGCAATATTTCCAATCTCGGTAATGACTGGCTTTGCTACATTTGGGCCATACGGCATTACGGATTGATAGGTATTTTGCTACGATTGCACTGTGAAAGCCTTTTATGTTTACAAATTGATTTTATTTTTACTCAATATTTTCACGAAGAAATCAGAGATAGAGTCCGAATTATCAGTTGTTACTAAGCTCAAAGATAATTTTCTTATGTTTTGGAAACTGTAGCTACCGAGGACGAGGCCTAAGGAAAATGTGAAGAAAATCATATTGGCTGAGGAAGACAAATATATTGTTATGTTTGAACAATTAAAACTGACCAAAAAAAAACAAACAAAAAAAACAACAACTTAATATCACCTACAAACATTTTACCTACCTAATAACCGCAGTTTCCCTGCTATTTACCGGCAGCCACTGAATATTACAAAATGTCTATCCATTACTGAAAAATACTTCCTACTTGCGCATATACATCGTATCGAAATAATTTTCATCAAGCTTCCACCGAAGCCATCACACGTAGCCATTGTTACAGATTTGGGATCGCACTGTCATGGCGACCTCAATTTGCGCTGGCTTCAATTTGTAACAAAAGCTGTTCAATCCAGTCTTTATTTTGAGATCAGCGAATTTTGGTCGTATGCGATAGACAACGCATATCAGCCGCTTCACCCAATCCTAACGGTACAGCCACAGGCTTTCCCTATTTTTAAGTATGAATATACGCATTTCTCAAATGGTGCACGTACCCATGAATCATTAATGCGCGGTTTGCATATCAGCTATGATGAATTTCGATTTATTTAATTCATAGGGTGATGAGTGTGCCTGGCCTGCAGTCTGCGCCGAACACTACCGCCACCATTTCCCGTCATTGGTCAATATCCTCAGAGATCCTCAATTTACCTGAGCTCTCTGTCGCTTTTATATTGGCGGTGTATCTAATGAATTTTGAATTTGTTACTTCCGAACAATAAATGTTCTAATCAGTACAAATGGTTATGGATATTCGAATACGGTTAATGACTTTCTTGTGCTCCCATAACTTCAAAAACCAATGATTAATTTACAATATATTCTAGAAAATGTAATCCTTATAGAAAATTCATTTGTTGAAAAAATTCTGCCGCTTCAACATCTAAGGTCACTGGCAGCCTATACAAAATACAGCGATAGAGTGGAGCTTGAGTCCCCAGGTAAGGATTTGTTTATAAGGCGATGTTTGGGATTTCCAGAAAGGTCCAGGGTCAAAACATGTAAATGTGCCAGACATCGAAGGTCATGCAGCATTACGATGAAGCATTGCGGCGAAAAAGGATAATAATGAGTTAACGATTAGGATGAGTGGACAGAAGAGGGGGATAAAGAAGAGAAGGAAAAGGAAATAAGGGAAAGAAAAAAAGACCAAGCAAAATTAGTTAAGGCGGGGCTGAGATCCAAGACAGGGGTGATCCCCGACATTGAGCCTCAGTCTCCGTCCGCTACATTTTCATTGCTGGTTGACAAAGAGAAGAGAAGAGAAGAGAAGAGAAGAGAAGAGAAGAGAAGAGAAGAGAAGAGAGAGAGCAACTCCCGCGCAGTTCTTCAGGCTCCTCTTGCTCATAAATATGGGGCAGACACATCAATATGCACAATGTAAGAAATATATTAGTTGCTCTCAATTCTCGATATTAATGTATTACTGTTGTATTATCACATCCTTTTAGTAAAAAAAAAAAAAAATATCCTTCACGTAACTCCATGCGGGATCCATGGACGTACGTTAATAAAATATTACAATAAATGTAAAAATAGATAAATAAATAAATAAATAAACAAATAGGAAGGATATCGGATAGCGATTTTTAGAATATTGATTTGCGACGGAAGTTTCTTATATCAACCGCTCCTTTCCGATGTCTGACACATATGGCGCAAAGTCAACCATGGTTAAGATATTATCTCTGAATTTAAGCTTAGTTGAAGAGAAAGAGAACTATGTTGAACCAATATAGCATATATTCATTTTATCAGTTACTAGTTATTGGTTACTGATCACATCATTATTTTACTCATGCTTACTACTCAGTATTCCTTTGTTTTATAGCCTTGTCTACTGAGGTATATTATACCAATGGATAATAGTAACAAATTATATATATATATATATATATATATATATATGTATATATATATATATATATGCGCACACACACAAACATTCACGAAGTCACACATAAACATATTTACAATATACGTATATGTACATACACAGTACATAATAAATATAACCTATGTATATATATATGCATGTATACATATATATATACACAAGGTATAGATATTATGTACTTTATGTGTACATATATACAGCATATATACAGCATATATATATATATACATATACATATATGGAAAATCTAACATTCATACATATATATACATATACACACGGTATGTATATGGACATTTGTATACATACATATAAATAAATGAATATATAGACATATACGTGTATACATACATATATATATATATATATATATATATATATATATATGCACACGCGCGCGTGTGTGTGTATGTATGTGTCTGTGTGTAGGTTTAAGTTTAAGTATATATATACACATTTATATAAATGCATATATATATATAGAAAGTAATATATGTACATATAAATAAACGAATAAACTAATACATACGTATTTATATATACGTATTCATACAAAAAGATAAATGAATACACAGACACATATGTATTTATGAACGAAATTCCTTTAACTTAAAAGTTTAGATTATTTTCTACGATATAAGTTGCATCTTCTGCCTCTTTATCGCTATATATATAATGAGAGAGAGAAACTGTGACATATTTTAAGATTAAGTTTTGTTTCTTAGGAAAAGAGTAAGCATTTATTTTTATAACAGTTTTATTATCGAAATACAAATGCCATCTTCTGTGGCCAAGATGATGGTGCGAAGTCATGGTTTATCCTCCATATCCTAAAAATGATAAGTGGCACGTTAGTAAGTCGAAAGATACAGTAATAGGGATTACTGACATCTTAAAACAAGATAATATAGAGTACTATATTTTACCTCCAAATCCACGGCCGAATCCTCCGTGTCCGCCTCCGAATCCTCCGGAACCTCCACCGAAGCCTCTGTGTCCACCTGTGCAAAAGCAAATGAGTTTGTTAAATGCTTTGGCATATGAGGCGCTTCAAAAATTTCTACTGAATTGTAACCTTCTCAATGTGATCACAAGATAGTATCAGTTTTTGCAGATTACAACTTACTCGGCTCTTATTTTCCGCTCAAACGATAAGAAACATTACCTCCAAATCCACCTCTGAATCCTCCGCCGCTGAATCCACCGGATTTTCCACCGCCAAATCCACCAGAGTGTCCACCAAATCCTCCTCCGCCGAATCCACCGGCGGCAGCGAAGGCGACCACGAGGGCCAGGACCATGACGGTGAACAGTGCGCGGGCCTGAGTGAAAACCAAGAATATTACATTTCAGTCCACAAAACAAAGAGAGTGGAAAACATAAAGAGAGATGGGTATATATACAGATAAATAGAGATAGAGAAAAACTAGAGCTCTTGCTAACAAACCATGTTAAGGGTTGAGGCGTTGGGAAGCAACTGCCAACACGCCGGAGGAGCGGAGGCTTTATACTCCCTGAGCTAAGGAAAACCAAAAGGTAGCGACCTTCACTTCTGTCGAATCATTCTACGGAAATCTTATCCTAACGGGGAAAATAATGAAGTGATTTTTTTGTTGGGTGGAAAGATCGTGAGTCACACACACACTAGTAAGACTGACCATTATACATATATACATATATTTATATTCACACATATACACATATACATAAAATATATAAAAAGAAATAATAATCATTTTACTTTTGGATGCCTTTTTTGTTAAACGTGTGTATATAGTGTGACTAGCTAAGGCTGGATGCTGTAAATACTCATCATGGACAGTAACTACAAGGAATATATTTAAAGGTCTGCCATTTTACTGAGTCACTCAATCGATTCTATATATCTTGTGTCTATATGAACTCCATAGTGATATTTTTTTACTAGTGCAAAAGAAAGCGAACACATATGTAAACAATGAGGGAATTTAAGTTCAGCCGGTTACATGAAATTGGCGAAATTGTGCTGTCGCACACCACGTGAAATATTCCGACACAGAATAGATACAGACATACAGATATACTTAGATGTATGGGAATAGGTTCATGTAATACATCAATCACTTTCTGATGTCATACTCTCTTTGTTAAGTCCTATCGCTTGGAAATAAGTTTTTGAACAGCGTACAGAACTTCTGATCGTTAACTTAATAAGATGGTGAGCACGCTCTTAGATCCCAGTGTCTGTTCTTCCATCGGAGGCGCGTGAAAAAGCTGGAGCATAGGCAGCCACCGGGGGACGCAGGGACACACAAATAGGATCTGAGTGGCCCAATCGATTAGGGGTAGTGGGGGGGGGGGGGTAGAACATGGCGAACCCCCCAGCGCTTGAGAAAACCGTAAAAGTCTCGGCTTTTGCAAGCGATCGGGCACGGAATGCAAGCTGCTAAAGGTTTGCTACAAGCCGTCGATCCATATTTTTACAATTTCGAAGAGAGCTGCTTGCAGGCAGGTTTGAGTAATTATAGGAAATAATTAAATACTTAACGTGTTGGAAGCATGTGTTGAGAATCGTCAACCGCGGTTTTCCGATTTCTGACACCTTTGAATTTATGCTAAGTTAATTATAAAGAGAAAGAGAATGACGTTTAATCATTTTAACATATAATTGCTTTATCACTCATTATTTATTGGGTACTGATCACTATCACTATTTTATTCATGCTTACTACTCATTTTTCATCAGTTTTATAGCTCTGTCTACTGAGGCATGTTATTCCAATGGATAATGGTAACGAACTATATATATATATATATATATATATATATATATACATATACATACTCATGTGTACATACATACACATGCATTCTCATATTCACACGAACATATTTACATTGTACATATGCGTACATACACATTACATAACATCTATATACCCTATGTATATATATGGACATATATATATATATAATTATATATATAAATGGGTAGTGTAGCTTCTATACATACTTATAAATATACAACTTATATCATCTTTATGTATATATATACACAAATAAATATATGTATAAATATACATATATGCATGCACATACATATAATATATGTACATATACCCACAGTATAAATATGGATAGATAAGTATATGTGCGTATATGTGTTTGTATGCATATAGATAAATGAGTATATTGATTACTAGTTATTGAGTACTGATCACTACTATCACTATTTTATTCATGCTTACTACTCCTTTTTCATCAGTTTTATAGCCCTGTCTACTGAGGTATGTTATTCCAATGGATAATGGTAACAAACTATATATATATAGACATATACATACGCATGTGTACATACATACACAAGCATTCTCATATTCACACGAACATATCTACATTGTACGTATGCGTACATACACATTACATAACATCTATATACCCTATGTATATATATGTACATATACATATATATATATACATATATATATATATAAATATATATAAATGAGTAGTGTAGCTTCTATACATACATATAAATATACAACTTATATCATCTTTATATATATATATATATACAAATAGATATATGTATAAATATGCATATATGCATGCGCATACATAAAATATATGTACATATACCCACAGTATAAAGATGGATAGATAAGTATATATGTGTGTCTGTGTGTATATGTGTTTGTATGCATATAGATAAATGAATATATTGATACATTATGCATATATATATGTGTATACATATAGATAAATTAATATATATATATACATACACATACAAATAGACAGATTAATACACAGACACATATATTTAGAAAAAGTAAACTCAACAGAGAGTATAAGGAGCCAAATAATGTTTCTGAAATAACACCCGATAATTCCTTTCAGACTGAGCTACTTGCCCTTTTATGCTATGAAATTTATGCGATAAAATGACTTAAAAGTTTAGATTATTTTTCTTGTTTTCGGAGAAGTAACTGCGATATAATTAAGTTGCATCTTACTTCTGTCTCCCTCTCTCTATATATAATGAGAGAGAGAAATTGTGGTATATTTTAAGCTTCATTTTGTTTATTCTTAGGAAAAGAGTAAGCATTTATTTTTATAACAATTTTATTATCGAAATACAAAATGCCGTCTTCTGTGGCTAAGATGATGGTGCGAAGTCATGGTTTACCCTCCATATCCTAAAAATGATGAGATGTTAGTTAGTCGAAAGATACAGTAACAAGGATTACTGTCATTTCAAAACAAGACAATCAATATAGAGTACAGTTGTACAATTTTTACCTCCAAATCCACGGCCGAATCCTCCGTGTCCGCCTCCGAATCCTCCGGAACCTCCACCGAAGCCTCTGTGTCCACCTGTGCAAAAGCAAATGAGTTTGTTAAATGCTTTGGCATATGAGGCGCTTCAAAAATTTCTACTGAATTGGAAACTTCTCATGTGATCACAAGATAGAATCAGTTTTCGCAGATTACAACTTACTCAGCTCTTATTTTCCGTTGAAACGCTAAGAAACATTACCTCCAAATCCACCTCTGAATCCTCCGCCGCTGAATCCACCGGATTTTCCACCGCCAAATCCACCAGAGTGTCCACCAAATCCACCTCCACCGAATCCACCGGCGGCGGCGAAGGCGACCACGAGGGCCAGGACCATGACGGTGAACAGTGCGCGGACCTGAGTAAAACAAAACAAAACAAAACATGATTATATATTATATTTCCACTAAGTGAGTTTCTATAATTTTACTATATGATCTTTTACTATAAAAAAAAAACAATTTTCACACACGAAAATTAAGGGAGGTGAAAGAGAAAGTGAAAAATAGAAAGGGAGATAGGTAAATGTATAGATAAATGGAGAGAAGGGGATAAAAATACAGCTCTTGTTGACAAACCATGTTGAGTGTTGAGACGTTGAGAGGCAACTACCAACACGCCAGAGGAGCGGAGGCTTTATACTCCCACAGCCCAGGAAAACCGAGAAACTAGTGACCTTCAATTTCGTCGAATCACTCCATGGAAATCTTATCCCAACGGAGAGAATAAAGAAGTGATTTTTTGCGGATGGAAAGATCATGAGTCACACATACATGCGTAAGTCTGTATCAAGACGAACTTCGTAAATGTAATTATTTTACATGTTGCCATTATATACATACACACAATGTATATATATATATATACATACACATATATGCATATGTATATATATATATGCATATTTGCACATACATATATATTAAGTATATGAAAATGAATATAAGAAATCCTTTAACTTAATTTTTTGTGGTTAGATAATGTTGAATGCTCAAAATACTCATCATATGGACAGTTGCTACAAGGCATATATTCGAAAGGTCTGTCATCGTACTGAAACACAGTCGATTCTATACATCTTGTATACATAGGAACTCCATAGTGATGGTAAGTCTTACTAGTACAAAACAAAACGAAAACTTATGTAAACAAAAAGAGAATTCAAGTCGTTCAGCCGGTCAAGTGAAAGAGAACTGTGCTGCTGGGCTCTGGTGACATTGGGGTCTGATAACATGTGCTGTCGCACGCCATTCAAATATTTTCGACACAGAAGAGATTCAGACATATATGTTCATAACTTAGATGTATAGGAATAAGTCCATGTATTACACCATTAACTTTCTGGTGTCACTCGCTTTGTTAATTCCAATCGGTTGGAAAGAAGTTTTTGAACGCGTAAAAAAGTTCTGATCGTCAACTTTAAAAGATGGCGAAAAAAATTGCTAAAATTCATAAAACGGGCAGGCACTGAAATCACGGAATGTAAGCTAGTAAAGATTTTCTACAAATCCCCCATATTTTTTTTTAAATTTTGGAAAGAGCTACTTGCAGGTAAGTTTGAGTAATTTTAGGAAATAACATAAATGCAGAACGTGTTGGAAACATGTGCTGACAATCATCAACCGCGGTTTATCAATTTCTGACACGTATGGCGCACAGTCATCCATGGTTAAGATATAATTTTTGAATTTAAACTAAGTTAATTATAAAGAGAGAAAGAAAACCATGCTGAATCCCTGTAGCATATATTTGATTTTTTAGTTACTATTTGTAGGGTACTGATCACTATCATTATTTTACTCATGCTTACTACTCAGTATTCCTTTGTGTTATAGCCCTGCCTACTGAGGCATGTTATACCAATGGATAATGGTAACACATTATATATATACTCCTACAGTCACACATATTTTCAATGTACGTACATATACATACACAGTACATAATACCTATATAACGTATGTATATATATGTATATATGTATACATAATGTACATATATGTATACATAATACACATACACATACAGACATGTACTGTATGTGTACATATATACATACATCATCCATATACATATATATGTATATGGACGATTTAGCTTCCATACATATATATACATATACAGCATAAACTTACAACCCTAAATGTATATAAATACATATACATATACATAATGAAATATGCATATATGCATGCACATGCATAAAATATATATATATATACAGATATACACACAGTATAAATATGGATAGATAACTATACATATATACATATATGTATGTGTATATAACTTAATATATTCGAATATGTGTGTGATTATGCTTTGTGTGTTTGTTTTTATGCAAATATACAAATGAATGTATAGACATACGTGTATATATATATGTGTGTGTGTGTGTGTGTATGTGTGTGTGTAGTGTGTATATATATACATGTAAATAAATGAATATATATGTATGCATTTACATACTAATAGATAAATGAATACACAGTATATTCAGAAAAAAATAAACTTAACAGAGAGTAAAAGGAGGAAAAAATGTTTCTGAAATAACACCAGAAATATTTATGCTTGAATTTTCCTGCGATGAAATTCCTTTGACTTAAAAGTTTATATTATTTTTCTTGTTTTCGAAGAAGGAACTGTGATGCAATTTAAGCTGCATCTTCTGTCTCTCTCTAGTTATATAAAGAAGGAGAGAGAGAAATTGTGGCATATTTTAAGCTTCATTTTGTTTATTCTTAGGAAAAGAGTAAGCATTTATTTTTATTACAATTTTATTATCGAAATACAAAATGCCGTCTTCTGTGGCCAAGATGGTGGTGCGAAGTCATGGTTTACCCTCCATATCCTAAAAATGAGTAGACGTTAGTTAGTTCAAAGATAAAATAACAAGGATTACTGTCAACTTAAAGCAAGACAATATAGAGTACAATATTTTACCTCCAAATCCACGGCCGAATCCTCCGTGTCCGCCTCCGAATCCTCCGGAACCTCCACCGAAGCCTCTGTGTCCACCTGTGCAAATGCCGGAGTTTGTTAAATGCTTTGGCATATGATACTCTTCGTAAATTTCTATTGAATAGGAACCCTCAGTAATTAGAATCAAATTTGGCAGATTACAACTTACGCTGCTCTTATTTTCCGTTGAAACGATAAGAAACATTACCTCCAAATCCACCTCTGAATCCTCCGCCGCTGAATCCACCGGATTTTCCACCGCCAAATCCACCAGAGTGTCCACCAAATCCACCTCCACCGAATCCACCGGCGGCGGCGAAGGCGACCACGAGGGCCAGGACCATGACGGTGAACAGTGCGCGGACCTGAGTGAAAACCACGATTATTACATTTCAGTCCACTAAGTGAAGTCTTGTTATTTCAAGAACCTTGTTGAATTTTACTATATCAAAAGGTAATTTAATCATTACTAACAACTTACACACACGAAAAATAGGAAGAGAGAGACAGTGAAAAGCACAAAAAGATAGGTAAATATACAGATAAAAAGAGATAGAGAAAAACTAGATCTCTTGTTGACAAACCATGTTAAGTGTTGAGACGTTGAGAAGCAACTGCCAACACGCCGGAGGAGCGGAGGCTTTATACTCCCTGAGCTAAGGAAAACCAAAAGGTAGCGACCTTCACTTCTGTCGAATCACTCAACGGAAATCTTATCCTAACGGGGAAAATAATGAAGAGATTTTTTTTTTTTTTTTTTTTTTTTTTTTTTTTTTTTGAAAGATCATAAGTCACACACACACGCGTAAGTCTGTATCATTAAGACGAACTTGATATTTTTTTGTTTTTCAGTTTTACATATTGCCATTATACATATAAACATGTATTGTATATTTACACACACACACACACACACATATATATATATATACATATATACATATATTGTATATTTACACACATACACGCACATGCATAAAGTATATAAAAAAAGTCAATAATCCTTTAACGTTTGAATGTCTAACTTTTTTATATAAAACGTGTATATGATGTGGCTGCTTATACTGGATGCTGGAAATACTCATCATATGGACAGTAACTTCAAGGAATATATTTTTAGGTCTGTCATTTTACTGCGTCACTCAGTCCATTCTATACCTATCTAGTACCTATATCTTGTGGATATAGGTACTCCATAGTGATAAGATTTTACTGCAAAAGAAAGTGAACACATATGTAAACAATGAGAGAATACAAGTCGTTATTCCGGTCACGTGAAAGAAAACTGTACTGCTGAGTTCTGGCGAAATTGGTTAGGGTACGATAACGATGTGCTATCACACACCACATGAAATATTCTCGATACGGAATAAATACAGATATACTTAGATGTATGGAAATAAGTTCACGTAATACAAAAATCACTTCCTGATGTCAATATTCTCGCTTTGTTAAGCCCTATCGCTAGGAATAACGTTTTTGAATGCGCAAAGAAGTTCCGATCGTCAGCTTGAAAAGATGGCGAGCACGCTTTTCGCATAGGATCTTGGCGTCTGTGCTTCCTTCGGCGGCGCGTGAAAAAGCTGGAGCATAGGCAGCCATCGGGGTACGCAGGGACACACAAATAGGATCCGGGAGGCTGATCGTCTAGCGAAGGGAGAAGGATTGCGAAGCTCCATAGAACCTCTGTCGAACTCTCTGCCATCCGGGCTAAAATCTTCGTGTTATTCATGTAGGTTACGACGTGAACAATCGATTAGGGGTAGTGAGGGGGCGATGCAACATGGAGAACACCCCAGTGCTTGAGAAAGGCCGTAAAAGTCTCGGCTTGCGCAAATGATCGGGCACACTAACATCACGGAATGCAAGCTAGTTTTCTACAAGCCGTCGATCCATATTTTTACAATTTCGAAGAGAGCTGCTTGCATGTAAGTTTGAGTAATTATAGGAAATAATTAAATACAGAACGTGTTGGAAACATGTGTTGAGAATCGTCAACCACGGAACATATTTACAATGTACGTATATGTACATACGCATTATATTATATCTATATAACCTAATTATATATATATATGTATATATATATGTATGGTAATCTAGCTTCCATACATATATATGCATATACTGCATATGTTATCTTTACAGCTTATGTGTATATAAATATATATATACAAATAAATATATGTATAAATATACATAAATGCGTCAAATAAATGTATATATACATATACACGGTATAAATATGGATAGATAAGTATATATATGTGTGTGTATGTATTTGTGCGTATACGTGTGTTTGTATACATACAAATAAATGAATATATAGACACATGTGTGTATATATGTGTGTGTGTGTGTTTCTGTGTGTGTTTTGTGTGTATGTATATATATAGATAAATGAATATATATACATACAAATAGATAAATGTATACACAGACATATATTTAGAAAAAGTTAACTCAACAGAGTAAAAAGAACCAAAAAATGTTTTGACGTAACACGAATTAATTCATTTTTAGACTGCATTGAATTTTCCTATTACTGTATCGAAAGATACAGTAATAAGGATTACTGACAGCTTAAAACAAGACTATATAGAGTACAATTTTTACCTCCAAATCCACGGCCGTATCCTCCGTGTCCGCCTTCGAATCCTCCGGAACCTCCACCGAAGCCTCTGTGTCCACCTGTGCATATGCCGGAGTTTGTTAAATGCTTTGGCATATGATGCTCTTCGTAAATTTCTATTGAATTGGAACCCTCAGTAATGAGAATCAAATTTCGCAGATTACAACTTACTCAGCTCTTATTTTCCGTTGAAACGATGAGAAACATTACCTCCAAATCCACCTCTGAATCCTCCGCTGCTGAATCCACCGGATTTTCCATCGCCAATTCCACCAGTGTCCACCAAATCCACCTTCGCCGAAGTGACCGGCGGCGGCGAAGGCGACCACGAGGGCCAGGACCACGACGGTATATAATTTCAAGAGCGACGTTTAGTCCTTTTAACATATAATTGCTTTATCACTTACTAGTTATTGAGTACTGATCACTACTATCACTATTTTATTCATGCTTACTACTCCTTTTTCATCAGTTTTATAGCCCTGTCTACTGAGGTATGTTATTCCAATGGATAATGGTAACAAACTATATATATATAGACATATACATACGCATGTGTACATACATACACAAGCATTCTCATATCTACACGAACATATCTACATTGTACGTATGCGTACATACACATTACATAACATCTATATACCCTATGTATATATATGTACATATACATACATATATATATATATATATATATATATATATAAATATATATAAATGAGTAGTGTAGCTTCTATACATACATATGAATATACAACTTATATAATCTTTATATATATATATATACAAATAAGTATATGTATAAATATGCATATATGCATGCGCATACATAAAATATATGTTCATATACCCACAGTATAAAGATAGATAGATAAGTATATATGTGTGCGTCTGTGCGTATATGTATGTGTATGCATATAGACATACAATGAAATGAATATACTGATACATTATGCATATATATATGTGTATACATATAGATAAATGAATATATAGATACATACACATACAAATAGACATATTAATACACATATATTTAGAAAAAGTAAACTCAACAGAGAGTAAAAGGAGCCAAATAATGTTTCTGAAATAACACCCGATAATTCCTTTCAGACTGAGCTACTTGCCCTTTTATGCTATGAAATTTATGCGATAAAATGACTTAAAAGTTTAGATTATTTTTCTTGTTTTCGGAGAAGTAACTGCGATATAATTAAGTTGCATCTTACTTCTGTCTCCCTCTCTCTCTATATATAATGAGAGAGAAATTGTGGTATATTTTAAGCTTCATTTTGTTTATTCTTAGGAGAAGAGTAAGCATTTATTTTTATAACAATTTTATTATCGAAATACAAAATGCCGTCTTCTGTGGCTAAGATGATGGTGCGAAGTCATGGTTTACCCTCCATATCCTAAAAATGATGAAATGTTAGTTAGTACAGTAACAAGGATTACTGTCATTACTGTCAAGACAATATAGAGTACAATTGTACAATTTTTACCTCCAAATCCACGGCCGAATCCTCCGTGTCCGCCTCCGAATCCTCCGGAACCTCCACCGAAGCCTCTGTGTCCACCTGTGCAAAAGCAAACGAGTTTGTTAAATGCTTTGGCATATGAGGCGCTTCAAAAATTTCTACTGAATTGGAAACTTCTCATGTGATCACAAGATAGAATCGGTTTTCGCAGATTACAACTTACTCAGTTCTTATTTTCCGTTGAAACGCTAAGAAACATTACCTCCAAATCCACCTCTGAATCCTCCGCCGCTGAATCCACCGGATTTTCCACCGCCAAATCCACCAGAGTGTCCACCAAATCCACCTCCACCGAATCCACCGGCGGCGGCGAAGGCGACCACGAGGGCCAGGACCATGACGGTGAACAGTGCGCGGACCTGAGTAAAAAAAACAAAAAACAAAACATGATTATATATTATATTTCAATCCAGTAAGTGAGTTTCTATAATTTTACTATATGATCTTTTACTATAAATATATATATATATATATATATATATATATATTACAATTTTCACACACGAAAATTAAAGGAGGTGAAAGAGAAAGTGAAAAATAGAAAGGGAGATAGGTAAATGTACAGATAAATGGAGAGAAGGGGATAAAAATAGAGCTCTTGTTGACAAACCATGTTAAGTGTTGAGACGTTGAGAGGCAACTACCAACACGCCAGAGCAGCGGAGGCTTTATACTCCCTCAGCCCAGGAAAACCGAGAAACTAGCGACCTTCAATTTCGTCGAGTCACTCCACGGAAATCTTATCCCATCGGGTAAAATAATGAAGTGATTTTTATTGGATGGAAAGATCATAAGACACACACATACGCGTAAGTTTTATCAAGACGAACTTGGCCAATGTAATTATTTTACATGTTGCCATTATATACATACACACAATGTATATATATATATATATATATACATATATATACATACACATATATGCATATGTATATATATATATGTATATTTACACATACATATATATAAAGTATATGAAAATAAATATAAGAAATCCTTTAACTTCTTTAACTTAATTTTTTGGGGCTAGAGAATGTTGAATGCTCAAAATACTCATCATATGGACAGTTGCTACAAGGCATATATATTCAAAAGGTCTGTCATCGTACTGAAACACTCAGTCGATTCTATACTATAAATAAATGAATATATATGTATGCATTTACATACTAATAGATAAATGAATACACAGTTATATATTCAGAAAAAGTAAACTCAACAGAGAGTAAAAGGAGGAAAAAAAATGTTTCTGAAATAACACAAAATAACTCCTTTCAGACTGCGCTGGTTGTCATTTTATGCTTGAATTTTCCTGCGATGAAATTCCTTTGACTTAAAGATTTATATTATTTTTCTTGTTTTCGAAGAAGTAACTGTGATGCAATTTAAGCTGCATCTTCTGTCTCTCTCTCGCTATATAAAGAAGGAGAGAGAGAAATTGTGGCATATTTTAAGCTTCATTTTGTTTATTCTTAGGAAAAGAGTAAGCATTTATTTTTATTACAATTTTATTATCGAAATACAAAATGCCGTCTTCTGTGGCCAAGATGGTGGTGCGAAGTCATGGTTTACCCTCCATATCCTAAAAATGAGTAGACGTTAGTTAGTTCAAAGATAAAGTAACAAGGATTACTGTCAACTTAAAGCAAGACAATATAGAGTACAATATTTTACCTCCAAATCCACGGCCGAATCCTCCGTGTCCGCCTCCGAATCCTCCGGAACCTCCACCGAAGCCTCTGTGTCCACCTGTGCAAATGCCAGAGTTTGTTAAATGCTTTGGCATATGATGCTCTTCGTAAATTTCCATTGAATTGGAACCCTCAGTAATTAGAATCAAATTTTGCAGAAAACAACTTACGCTGCTCTTATTTTCCGTTGAAACGATAAGAAACATTACCTCCAAATCCACCTCTGAATCCTCCGCCGCTGAATCCACCGGATTTTCCACCGCCAAATCCACCAGAGTGTCCACCAAATCCACCTCCACCGAATCCACCGGCGGCGGCGAAGGCGACCACGAGGGCCAGGACCATGACGGTGATCAGTGCGCGGGCCTGAGTGAAAACCACGATTATTACATTTCAGTCCACTAAGTGAAGTCTTGTTATTTCAAGAACCTTGTTGAATTTTACTTTATCAAAAAGTAATTAAATCATTACTAACAACTTACACACACGAAAAATAGGAAGAGAGAGAGACAGTGAAAAGCACACACACACAAAAAAAGATAGGTAAATATACAGATAAAAAGAGATAGAGAGAGAAAAACTAGATCTCTTGTTGACAAACCATCTTAAGTGTTGAGACGTTGAGAAGCAACTGCCAACACGCCGGAGGAGCGGAGGCTTTATACTCCCTGAGCTAAGGAAAACCAAAAGGTAGCGACCTTCACTTCTGTCGAATCACTCAACGGAAATCTTATCCTAACGGGGAAAATAATGAAGAGATTTTTTTTTTTTTTTTTTTTTATTGTGGAAAGATCATGAGTCACACACACACGCGTAAGTCTGTATCATTAAGACGAACTTGGTATTTTTTTGTTTTTCTGTTTTACATATTGCTATTATACATATAAACATATATTGTATATTTACACACACACACACACACACATATATATATATATATACATATATACATATATTGTATATTTACACATACACACACATGCATAAAGTATAAAAAAGTCAATAATCCTTTAACGTTTGGATGCCTGACTTTTTTATATAAAACATGTGTATATGATGTGGCTGCTTATACTGGATGCTGGAAATACTCATCATCATATGGATAGTAACTTCAAGGAATATATTTAAAGGTCTGTCATTTTACTGCGTCACTCAGTCCATTCTATATATCTTGTGGATATAGGTACTCCATAGTGATAAGCTTTTACTACTGCAAAAGAAAGTGAACACATATGTAAACAATGAGAGAATACAAGTCGTAATTCCGGTCAGTGAAAGAAAACTGTACTGCTGAGTTCTGGCGAAATTGGTAAGGGTACGATAACGATGTGCTATCACACGCCACATGAAATATTCTCGATACGGAATAAATAGATATACTTAGATGTGTGGGAATAAGTTCACGTAATACAACAATCACTTCCTGATGTCAGTATTCTCGCTTTGTTAGGCCTATCGCTAGGAATAACGTTTTTGAATGCACAAAGAAGTTCCGATCGTCAGCTTGAAAAGATGGCGAGCACGCTTTTCGCATAGGATCTTGGCGTCTGTGCTTCCTTCGGCGGCGCGTGAAAAAGCTGGAGCATAGGCAGCCATCGGGGTACGCAGGGACACACAAATAGGATCCGGGAGGCTGATCGTCTAGCGAAGGGAGAAGGATTGCGAAGCGCCATAGAACCTCTGTCGAACTCTCTGCCATCCGGGCTAAAATCTTCGTGTTCTTCATGTAGGTTACGACGTGACCAATCGATTAGGGGTAGTGAGGGAGCGATGTAACACGGAGAACACCCCAGTGCTTGAGAAAGGCCGTAAAAGTCTCGGCTTGCGCAAATGATCGGGCACACTAACATCACGGAATGCAAGCTAGTTTTCTACAAGCCGTCGATCCATATTTTTACAATATCGAAGAGAGCTGCTTGCATGTAAGTTTGAGTAATTATAGGAAATAATTAAATACAGAACGTGTTGGAAACATGTGTTGAGAATCGTCAACCACGGAACATATTTACAATGTACGTATATATACATACGCATTACATTATATCTATATAAACTAAGTATATATATATATGGTAATCTAGCTTCCATACATATATATGCATATACTGCATATATTATCTTTACAGCTTATGTGTATATAAATACACATATATATACACAAATAAATATATGGTATAAAAACCCACAATGTAAAAACTAGATTTATTGAAATTTATTTTTACATTGTGGGTTTTTCTACCATAGTATCAACACGGTAGAGTGTTTTCATCATTCAAATAAATATATGTATAACTATACATATGTGCATGCACGTACATCAAATAAATGTATATATACATATACACGGTATAAATATGGATAGATAAGTATATATATGTGTGTGTATGTATTTGTGCGTATACGTGTGTTTGTATACATACAAATAAATGAATATATAGATACGTGTGTGTATATATGTGTGTTTTGTGTGTATGTGTATATATATAGATAAATGAATATATATACATACAAATAGATAAATGTATACACAGACATATTTAAAAAAAAAAAAAGTAAACTCAACAGAGTAAAAAGAACCAAAAAATCCTTTGACGTAACACCAGATAATTCCTTTTAGATTGCACTGAATTTTCCTTCGACGAAATTCCTTTGACTTAAGTTTATATTTTTTCTGGTTTTCGGAGAAGTAGCGTAGAAGCTGCATCTTATTTCTCTCTCTCTATATATATATAATTAGAGATAAATTGTGGCATATTTTAAGATTATTTGTTGTTTTTTCTTAGGAAAAGTGTAAGCATTTATTGTTATAACAATTTTATTATCGAAATACAAATGCCATCTTCTGTGGCCAAGATGGTGGTGCGAAGTCATGGTTTACCCTCCATATCCTAAAAATGATAAGAGACACGTTAGTAAGTCGAAAGATGCAGTAATAGGGATTACTGACAGCTTAAAACAAGACTATATAGAGTACTATATTTTACCTCCAAATCCACGACCGAATCCTCCGTGTCCGCCTCCGAATCCTCCGGAACCTCCACCGAAGCCTCTGTGTCCACCTGTGCAAATGCCAGAGTTTGTTAAATGCTTTGGCATATGATACTCTTCGTAAATTTCTATTGAATTGGAACCTTCAGTAATTAGAATCAATTTTCACAGATTGCACCTTACTCAGCTCTTATTTTCCGCTCAAACGATAAGAAACATTACCTCCAAATCCACCTCTGAATCCTCCGCCGCTGAATCCACCGGATTTTCCACCGCCAAATCCACCAGAGTGTCCACCAAATCCACCTCCACCGAATCCACCGGCGGCGGCGAAAGCGACCACGAGGGCCAGGACCATGGCGGTGAACAGTGCGCGGACCTTAGTAAAAAACAAAACAAAACAAAACATGATTATATATATTTCAATCCACTGAGTTAGTTTCTATAATTTTACTATATGATCTTTTACTATATGGAAAAAAGAAAGGTGAAAGAGAAAGTGAAAAATATAAAGGGAGATAGGTAAATGTATAGATAAATGGAGAGAAGGGGATAAAAATATAGCTTTTGTAGACAAACCATGTTGAGTGTTGAGACGTTGAGAGGCAACTACCAACACGGCAGAGGAGCGGAGGCTTTATACTCCCTCAGCCCAGGAAAACCGAGAAACTAGCGACCTTCAATTTCGTCGAATCACTCCATGGAAATCTTATCCCAACGGGGAAAAAATAATGAAGTGATTTTTTTTTTTTTTTTTTTTTTTTTTTTTGTGTGGAAACATCATGAGTCACACACACGCGCGTAAGTCTGTATCAAGACGAAGTTGGTCATGTTGCCATTATATACATACACACAATGTATATATATATACATATATATACATACACATATATGCATATGTATATATATATACATATGAATATTTACACATACATATATATATGCATATGTATATATATATACATATGTATATTTGCACATACATATATATAACGTATATGGAAATAAATATAAGAAATCCTTTAACTTCTTTAACTTATTTTTTTGTGGCTAGATAATGTCGAATGCTCAAAATACTCATCATATGGACAGTTGCTACAAGGCATATATATTCAAAAGGTCTGTCATTGTACTGAAACACTCTTGTATCTTGTATACATAGGAACTCCATAGTGATGGTAAGTCTTACTAGTACAAAACAAAACGAAAACTTATGTAAACAAAAAGAGAATTCAAGTCGTTCAGCCAGTCACGTGAAAGAGAACTGTGCTGCCGGGCTCTGGCGACATTGGGGTCCGATAACATGTGCTGTCGCACGCCATTCAAATATTTTCGACACAGAAGAGATACAGACATATATGTACATAACTTAGATGTATAGGAATAAGTTCATGTATTACACCATTAACTTTCTTGTGACTCGCTTTGTTAATTCCAATCGGTTGGAAAGAAGTTTTTGAACGCGTAAAAAAGTTCTGATCATTAACTTTAAAAGATGGCGAAAAAAAATAGCTAAAATTCATAAAACGGGCAGGCACTGAAATCACGGAATGCAAGCTAGTAAAGATTTTCTACAACCCCGCATATTTTTATAATTTTGGAAAGAGCTACTTGCAGGTATGTTTGAGTAATTTTAGGAAATAACATAAATGCAGAACGTGTTGGAAACATCAACCGCGGTTTGTCAATTTCTGACACGTATGACGCACAGTCATCCATGGTTAAGATATAATTTTTGAATTTAAACTAAGTTAATTATAAAGAGAGAAAGAAAACCATGCTGAATCCCTGTAGCATATATTTGTTTTTTTAGTTACTATTTGTAGGGTACTGATCACTATCATTATTTTACTCATGCTTACTACTCAGTATTCCTTTGTGTTATAGCCCTGCCTACTGAGGCATGTTATACCAATGGATAATGGTAACACATTATATATATACTCCTACAGTCACACATATTTTCAATGTACGTACATATACATACACAGTACATAATATCTATATAACGCATGTATATATATGTATATATGTATACATAATGTACATATATGTATACATAATATACATACATACAAACATGTACTGTATGTGTGCATATATCCATACATCGTCCATATACATATATAAGTATATGGACGATTTAGCTTCCATGCATATATATACATATACAGCATAAACTTACAACCCTAAATGTATATGAATACATATACATATACATAACGAAATATGCATATATGCATGCACATGCATAATATATATATACAGATGTACACACATAAATATGGATAGATAACTATACATATGTACATATATGTATGTGTATGTAACTTAATGTATTCGAATACATATATATGTGTGATTATGCTTTGTGTGTTTGTTTTTATGCGGATATACAAATGAATGTATAGATATACGTATATATATGTGTGTGTGTGTGTGTGCGTGTGTAGTGTGTATATATATCCATGTAAATAAATGAATATATATGTATGCATTTACATACCAATAGATAAATGAATACACAGTTATATATTTAGAAAAAAGTAAACTTAACAGAGAGTAAAAGGAGGAAAAAAATGTTTCTGAAATAACACCAAATAACTCCTTTCAGACTGCGCTGGTTGTCATTTTATGCTTGAATTTTCTTGCGATGAAATTCCTTTGATTTAAAGATTTATATTATTTTTCTTGTTTTCGAAGAAGTAACTGTGATGCAATTTAAGCTGCATCTTCTGTCTCTCTCTCGCTATATAAAGAAGGAGAGAGAGAAATTGTGGCATATTTTAAGCTTCATTTTGTTTATTCTTAGGAAAAGAGTAAGCATTTATTTTTATTACAATTTTATTATCGAAATACAAAATGCCGTCTTCTGTGGCCAAGATGGTGGTGCGAAGTCATGGTTTACCCTCCATATCCTAAAAATGAGTAGACGTTAGTTAGTTCAAAGATAAAGTAACAAGGATTACTGTCAACTTAAAGCAAGACAATATAGAGTACAATATTTTACCTCCAAATCCACGGCCGAATCCTCCGTGTCCGCCTCCGAATCCTCCGGAACCTCCACCGAAGCCTCTGTGTCCACCTGTGCAAATGCCAGAGTTTGTTAAATGCTTTGGCATATGATGCTCTTCGTAAATTTCCATTGAATTGGAACCCTCAGTAATTAGAATCAAATTTGGCAGAAAACAACTTATGCTGCTCTTATTTTCCGTTGAAACGATAAGAAACATTACCTCCAAATCCACCTCTGAATCCTCCGCCGCTGAATCCACCGGATTTTCCACCGCCAAATCCACCAGAGTGTCCACCAAATCCACCTCCACCGAATCCACCGGCGGCGGCGAAGGCGACCACGAGGGCCAGGACCATGATGGTGATCAGTGCGCGGGCCTGAGTGAAAACCACGATTATTACATTTCAGTCCACTAAGAGAAGTCTTGTTATTTCAAGAACCTTGTTGAATTTTACTTTATCAAAAAGTAATTAAATCATTACTAACAACTTACACGAAAAATAGGAAGAGAGAGAGACAGTGAAAAGCACACACACACACAAAAAAAAGATAGGTAAATATACAGATAAAAAGAGATAGAGAGAGAAAAACTAGATCTCTTGTTGACAAACCATGTTAAGTGTTGAGACGTTGAGAAGCAACTGCCAACACGCCGGAGGAGCCGAGGCTTTATACTCCCTGAGCTAAGGAAAACCAAAAGGTAGCGACCTTCACTTCTGTCGAATCCCTCAACGGAAATCTTATCCTAACGGGGGAAATAATGAAGATATTTTTTTGTGGAAAGATCATGAGTCACACACACACGCGTAAGTCTGTATCATTAAGACGAACTTGGTATTTTTTTGTTTTTCTGTTTTACATATTGCTATTATACATATAAACATATATTGTATATTTACACACACATACATATATATATACATATATTGTATATTTACACATACACACACATGCATAAAGTATAAAAAAGTCAATAATCCTTTAACGTTTGGATGCTTGACTTTTTTATATAAAACATGTGTATATGATGTGGCTGCTTATACTGGATGCTGGAAATACTCATCATCGTATGGACAGTAACTTCAAGGAATATATTTAAAGGTCTGTCATTTTACTGCGTCACTCAGTCCATTCTATATATCTTGAGGATATAGGTACTCCATAGTGATAAGATTTTACTACTGCAAAAGAAAGTGAACACATATGTAAACAATGAGAGAATAGAGGTGAAAGAAAACTGTACTGCTGAGTTCTGGCGAAATTGGTAAGGGTACGATAACGATGTGCTATCACACACCACATGAAATATTCTCGATACGGAATAAATACAGATATACTTAGATGTATGGAAATAAGTTCACGTAATACAAAAATCACTTCCTGATGTCAATATTCTCGCTTTGTTAAGCCCTATCGCTAGGAATAACGTTTTTGAATGCGCAAAGAAGTTCCGATCATTAGCTTGAAAAGATGGCGAGCACGCTTTTCGCATAGGATCTTGGCGTCTGTGCTTCCTTCGGCGGCGCGTGAAAAAGCTGGAGCATAGGCAGCCACCGGGGTACGCAGGGACACACAAATAGGATCCGGGAGGCTGATCGTCTAGCGAAGGGAGAAGGATTGCGAAGCTGCATAGAACCTCTGTCGAACTCTCTGCCATCCGGGCTAAAATCTTCGTGTTCTTCATGTAGGTTACGACGTGACCAATCGATTAGGGGTAGTGAGGGAACGATGTAACACGGAGAACACCCCAGTGCTTGAGAAAGGCCGTAAAAGTCTCGGCTTGCGCAAATGATCGGGCACACTAACATCACGGAATGCAAGCTAGTTTTCTACAAGCCGTCGATCCATATTTTTTACAATTTCGAAGAGAGCTGCTTGCATGTAAGTTTGAGTAATTATAGGAAATAATTAAATACAGAACGTGTTGGAAACATGTGTTGAGAATCGTCAACCACAGAACATATTTACAATGTACGTATATATACATACGCATTACATTATATCTATATAAACTAAGTATATGTATATATATGGTAATCTAGCTTCCATACATATATATGCATATACTGCATATATTATCTTTACAGCTTATGTGTATATAAATACACATATATATACAAAAATAAATATATGGTATAAAAACCCACAATGTAAAAACTAGATTTATTGAAATTTATTTTTACATTGTGGGTTTTTCTACCATAGTATCAACACGGTAGAGTGTTTCCACCATTCATATGTATATGTATAAATATACATACGTGCATGCACGTACATCAAATAAATGTATATATACATATACACGGTATAAATATGGATAGATAAGTATATATATCTGTGTGTATGTATTTGTGCGTATACGTGTGTTTGTATACATACAAATAAATGAATATATAGATACGTGTGTGTATATATGTGTGTTTCTGTGTGTGTTTTGTGTGTATGTATATATATAGATAAATGAATATATATACATACAAATAGATAAATGTATACAGAGACATATATTTAAAAAAAGTAAACTCAACAGAGTAAAAAGAACCAAAAAATGTTTTGACGTAACACCAGATAATTCCTTTTAG